CAAGCGGCTTGCGCACGCCAGACGTTGGGGCGGCGGTATTGCGCATGCGTGAAACCCCAAACAGATGCGTCGCAAGATCGCTGGGGCGATGGGGCCATGCGTCCGCGCGGTCCACCTTCGCAAGAACTCACGGTATCCGCACTATGGATATTCTAGCCGTCGAGGTTAAATAAGCCAAAGTGCGAGCACTTATAGCGATTACACGGTTTCAGCCAGATTTCCACTGCTAGAATGGCCTGGAACATAGAAACTAAAAGGCATATGCCAACCCCCGACCGGCTGAATAGGTGGCGCCATCTAGCGCGCCTATAGTGAAACAGACAACCACAACTTTGTTATTGCAGAAACATTGTGCATTGTACATGTGGTGCAAAAACTGCGCAGCGACAATATTTCGAATGAGTAACCTCTTTATTCATTTTCACCTCAAAAACACTACGCGTAAGCCACCTTTTTCCTTCCTCCGTGGCGTAAGCTAACAGGTTCATGACTGCGGTTGCACGAAGTGTCACAAGATGTCGACACTGACGTTACAGTAACCTTGTATTTTTCACATTTTTGCGTGTACCAGATTACTGTACACAATAAAAAAAGTGTCCTGATCACTATTTATGTTTCTTTAACATTTTATATCATAAAAAACCTAAATATTACTTACGCGACAAGACGCTATGGCTCTGCGAGCGCGTGTGAACTTCGTGCGGCTTGCGTTTGCGTGCGTGCCACCGTGGCGCCAACTAAAAGGCATTCCGGTTGGGTATGGGCTGGGCACGCAACGCCACGCGCTTCCAAGCCCGCAACGCCCCAAGAGAATGCGTATCCAGCACTAAATCTCCCTAATATCTTTGCTTGGCGCGCCTGCGTGACAATTTATTTCTCAATATAGTATTCGCAGCAAATTCATGCGTCAGCCTTTGTTAGTGTGGAATACACACGTACCTTTGATAAAATGGTTTTCGCACACTCTCGCTTCAATGCTCCGTACTCAAAGGCTACCTGTCGCTGTGGTTCTCTTTACAGTCGCGGCCCACCTCGTTTTAGTCTTCATTACATGGTACTTGATACCTGCGTTTGCCTTGCTCGCTCGAGTTGGCGCAGCCAACGGCTGAACAACCGACCATTGTTTATCAGGACTAAGATAAGTGGGTGACCGAACGCGTGAATCCCGAATAATCTGAGGCTTGCGGCGAAGCGGTTTGCCGTCGTCTGCTCTTCTCGAACCGGAAGCCGGTAGCAAACGGTGCATCCCACAATCCCTCGCTCTTTTACTGGTCACCTATTGCCGGGCATTCTAAGATCCAGTCGAACCGTGTGAGGCTGATGTGAATGTTCGCATTTACTGGCTATCAAAAAGTATTCACAAAGGAAATAAATGTTAATACCCCCGTGAAAACTTCTCTTTTGTTTATATGTGTTTGCTTATTTCTTACTTTGTGAATTTACATCAGGCGAAGCACGGGAAGTGATGTGCTCTAAGGCGGAAATGTTGTAGGCCCGTGTGCTCAGATTTGGGTGCACGTTCAAGAACCCCAGGTGGTCGAAATTTCCGGAGCCCTCCACTACGGCGTCTCTCAAAATCATATGGTGGTTTTGGGACGTTAAACCCCACATATCAATCAAGTGATTCGCTCGAGTTCTTAGCGCTTGCCTCCTCTCTTTCTCGCCCCTCGCTCAGCGATAATAGCAGTTAGATTGCGCTCAGTTATCTCGGTCGGTTGGCGTGCATGCCAACTGCGGGAAAGATAAAGACAGCAAGTGGTGGTGTGTAGAAAAGCAGAAGACGCAGTGAGCTACGCCGAACAAGTGAACCACGCTTTGTCGAAGGTGGTTAAATCAGGCAACACATGTTTTCCGCGGCTCTGAAGTGTACTTACCCGATTATTTCTAGTTTGGCGAAGGTTTCTCGGTGTTGCTGAAAGGCAACGGCTGAGCACGAGAACTTGGAAGCATTATTTGAGCAGGTATTGATTTTGCATGAGTACATGAATGAACCCTGTTCTCTGCAAGCCTGACTGGAATAGCATGAGTGCGGTGCCTCAGGTTTGATTTGCAAAGACAGCAGCCAAGCTCTTGTTGAAAAATGCGTTTATTGAAAGGCTTGAATTCGAGTCGGCTCGGCTACATAGTTTTAGCTTCTTTTACTTTTGGCTAGTGGTTCATTGATATGTTGAGTTTAACGTCCCAAAACCACCATATGATTATGAGAGACGCCGTAGTGCAGGGCTCCGGAAATTTCGACAACCTGGGGTACTTTAACGTGCACCCAAATCTGAACACACAGGCCTGCAGCACTTTCACCTCTATCGAAACTGCAGCCGGGCGTGTAGTTCAAATGATGTCGAGTAATTATAGGCTGCTTCCTGCTCATAAAATTGTCGTAGCCGCTCTTTGAAAATTTCTGAGTCTTTACTTCTGATACTGTCGCTCAAATACACGTGATGGATTAAACGCTTCTAAATATTATTACGAAGAACGTTGGTGGAGCCAATGTTTTGACAAGTCAACTTTTCTTCGTCACAGCAACACCGCTGCCCTGACGAGGACAAGTCAACTTGCTGAAACACTCTTTCCAGCGACGTTCTTTCTAGAAAAAATTATGATTGCTTTTAGCCTCTCAGTGCATCTGAACTGCAGTCTCATTGGACACTACTCAAGTTCTGCAAGAAAACTATGCGCGTCGTCATATAACAAACGTGATTCAGTAAACTAGGACGTGTTCTACTCGCGGTTGTTGATAATTTTAGCATTGGTGTGGATATTCTGCGTTCAAAATTTTCTGATTATGTCCGTATGTAAGTTGTAAGATTGACACTTTCACACTACGTGTATGCGTCTTTTCTTCCAAAAAGTGCAATAAAAAGTTCATTTCATTTGTGCCGATTAATTTTCGTCTAATACTGAGACATCAGTCAGCTTAATTTTCCCCTCTTCAGAACACACGAAAAAAAAAAAATCGGAAAAATTACTGCGCTGGCCGAAGCGGCAAATGCACCTGAAGAAGGCATGAGCGTCTTCCGCTTGTGTGCGAAGTGGGCAAAGAGGGCATCCGCGGCAAGCCTCCTGCTCTTCATTTTTCGTCCTTTCCTTCTATTTGTTGACCTCACCAGTGACGTCATGAAATTTTCTGTTCGCGATTTACTTCTAGTAGGATGCCCGGCAACCGCCAGTGGTAAAAGTGGCGCTGCCGTACGTATAAGGACGCGCGAGCGAATACATGAAAGGTATACCAGAGTTTCCGCCCCCTGCTGAACCTGCGACCTTTGAATAACGCGTCCGATGCTCTGCCAACTGAGCTACCATGGCGGATATCACCCCGTCCACTTTATAGGGTATATATGTGCCTTAGACGTGGAAACCTCAGTCAGCGCCACCTGTTGTCATTGCGGCGAGTGTGGAACACTCTCTGTAGCAACAGGTAGTGCTGACGGACGCGCCCACTTTTAAGACACATATATCAGTTCACTTTTGACCAGTTGCCGATGTCTTGTGGTGTCGGCATGATGTGACTTCACAGTGACGTCAGAACAGTATCACTAGGTCTGGTGATATGAGATGACATATGGTGACGTCGTCAGGGAATGATTTTTCGCACAGCTCGAGTAGACGCCGACGCTGAAAGTCGATTTTTGCGTTCTGTGACAATAAGGTATTTGAGGCTTACGCTGTTCTATTTATTACAAATACTAGCGGTGCCCGAGCAATACTCTAGGTAAATAATTAGTTTGATAATGTTTTGCGCGTTTGTATATTTATGGTTTCAATTGCTACTGGTGACGGGGGCTGTATTACGACATAGACACTACTAGTCGAAGCTTTCGCAGGACAGGAACGCATGAACGGGTCACGAAGGAAGATTAGCGTACTGAATTCTGTGTTTGGAACAAAAGTTCGACGATTTGGAGTATGTTCTCTACTACGGGAGAGCAATTAGCTGTCTCCATTGAATGCGCCTGGTAATACAATTGGAAGGTGGTGATTGCCGAATTCTTAACAGGCGTGGTAGAAATAGCAGCATTTGCATTCAGGCAAAACACTTTAGACGCCCGTATGTTTAGATTTAAGGGCACGTTAAGCAGCCCCAGCCAATTCAATTCTGGGATCCCTTCACAATTACGGCTCCTCTCATAATCATATAGTAGTTTTTGGACGTAAGACACACAAAAAAGTGACGTTTATCTTTAACACGGAACAAGAAATTTCAACGTCCCAATCGAGGGACATTTCTTTATTTATACACGGAAAAAGGCGTGCACTGATGAAACAGCCGAGCTGAAGGCATGCAGTGAGTTGAGTTATGTGTAATGAAGTCGGAATGAATTATTATGGAAATGAGTTAAATGAACTGCAATGATTAGCGTGAGTAGTGATGAATTGTGGGAGTAGTGCGTAGTTAGTAGTGGTATAGGGGGAGTGATACCTACATATCCGTAGTGAGATTTACCTGCTTCCTTGAGGTGAATTCAAGTATATGTTGTACAGGTGGGCCAAAAGTAAAAGGAAGCGCGTAAGCTGTGGTCGCAGCTATATGCGAATGAGCATACCAGCTCACTCTATCGGAGAAGTAGTTCTTTATTTCTAAAAGGAAGTGGTAGTACAATTTTCGGGCACACTTCCGTTTATTATTAAAGAACCACTTCTGTGATAGAGCACACTGGCATGCAGTTTTGCGTAGCTCCGTCACAGCTCGGGTCTTTTCTTTCGGGGCACCTGCATCACTGATATACAACAACGCAGGCACATGAAGACCTCGTCCAAGATTAGCTTCGCTTGTTAAACACTCGCTCGGAAGACGGTCCTTCTGCAGTTGAGTGACATCGATCCATCTGTTGTCAATCCATTGTAGGCCCATGTACTCAGATTTGGGTGCACGTTAAAGAACCCCAGGTGGTCGAAATCTCCGGAGCCCTCCACTACGGCGTCTCTCATAATCATATGGTGGTTTTGGGACGTTAAACCCCACAAATCAATCAATCAATCAATCAATCATGTTGTCAATCCAGGGACCACGATGACGAGAGCTCGGTGTTCGACGCCGCGCGCAAGCTCAACGAGGTGACGGGCTTCAAGGGCCTGGGCCGATACTTCAAGCAGATCGCCCAGTCGGCCCGTTCCAGTCCCGCCGACACCGTCGACGACTTCCTCGGGTGCGTCAACGTCCCGCTCGAGGTGAGTGAGAAAGACAGCCTCCGTTACGCATGCACGCTGGCAAAGTCTACCAACAAGGTCACCGTTGTCATTTGGTAATATTGTCACGGGGGTGGTCATGACGTGGGCAAAGGGAGCAGACTCGATGTTCAGATCAACAAACTGTTTATTTGTGCGAACTTGTGGCCGGAAAGCGGAACGTCGGAAGGAGGAGGAAAGTTTAAGCAGAATGAGAGGGAGTTTAGCCAGTTCTTAGACTGGCTGGCTACCCTGTGCTGGGGAAAGGGGTGAGGGGAATAGAAAGTGATCAAAAGAAATGCTGCGAAGAGAGAGAAAGAGAAATACAAAAAAAAATTTAGCCACAGAGGAAACACAACATCAAAGAGTATAAGACACTAAAGTCTCTCTTTGAGGTCAGTTGTCCACAAAAAGCGTAGCAAGGCTTTCAAAGCCTTCTGGGCTAAGGATGGGCTCGGCCAATGAGTCAGATTACAGTAGCACACTGACACTGATAACGGCGAAGAGAGCGTCGGCCATCAATCAACTGACAAGCGGTGGAGTGCGTCAGTATTTATACATCTGACGTGGAATGTTCCAGCTTTATCTTTGGTCGTCGCGCAAGCTCCGGAATAATCTCGAATGCTGGCGTATTGTGCGCAATCTTAAGAGAACGATCTACGATAATCGCGAACCATGTCTAACAGCGAGGCGCAGTTTGTGCTGAGTAGCCCTTTCAGGCTTTGTGGAAGAACACCGAATGAAACGAAAGCTAAAATAAGAAACGCGCATTGCAATATATGTTTTCATGTAGAGAATTTTATTTCAGTTTCATCGGTGCCTTATGCGTGTACTTTTTCTCACAACTCTGTGAAGACAGTTCTGTGCCGACTCTGGATCTTTTCGAGCTATACCATAGGTCGTGCTGTACCATGCAGTGGCACCCCCTTCCCCCCTAATCTGACCTTTGAATTTTAACCCCAGTTCATAAAGTGCTTGTTTTGCGGAAATTACATTCTCAGCTTCAGCGTGTTTTATTCTCAGTGAAAATTTGCGATAGATACAACAAATACATGATAAAAGACTATCTAGTATTTGTGATATTTGAATCGAGGGTTTCTTCGAGGCAAACATGTGTTCCACTGCGAAGCCTATAACCAACGCTTGCTATTGCTATTCTTAAAACCAAACACTATAACAATGACTTGTAATGGGTAGAGTCTCTTTAACGCGCTCAATATTGCGCGGCAGAATCGTAGGAATCGCACGAAGCGTCAAAACATGCGAAATGCTCAGTGAGTGAGTAGTTTAGAGCTGCTAAACATTACAATATGTGCAGGTGCGCAGGTACGCGTGGCACCTTACGTACGCTCAGAAGGCACGTCGCTAATGTCATAAAATTAGCAATTATGACATATCGGATGCTTCGTAACTGTACAATCATTAGGTATTCTAGGATAGCTTTCAACATCCAGTATGTCGCATATTACCACTCCTTTCTATACGGCACGGTTGAAGGAGTTGCGCTTGGGGCCTGATTGCGCTATTCGGCAAAACTGTTATGCAAAGGGGTAGGCAAAACTCAGACATCCTTGAAATTTGTTTGCTTTTTTTTTCTCTTCAAAGAGCTTAAGAAAGGTCCTGATGGTATGATACGCGTTCATTTTTGTCATTTCTTCTTTTTGTACTTTGTTTCCTCATTGTTCGTAAATGCACAGTTCACAACTGCTACTTGTCTAGATGTTTACTGCAAGACGCAGGCCTATCTTAGTGACATACAATTCACCCTGTCTGGCGCTAGCGGTGTCGGTTTTAAGCCTGCGAGCTGCTTGATTTCATCGCTTTGTTTCTCTCGCTTTCAGTAACGTTTTCCGTACTTAGTCACTTAGTCGTTCTAAATCAGCTGTCTATTACAGAGCTTGTTGTTAATCTATTTGGAATATCAATTCCAAAAATTTCATTTAAGCGCCAACACATAACCCCCACCCCCACCCCACACACACATATCCATGCATCCGTGCGTGTTTGGTGCCTGGGCATGTGAGTGTGTTTGGCGTGTGTTTGCGTTCAACTTAAGTTTTTAAAAACTATCTATATTCCTCTCGATACACGACCATTTCAGGATCTATATTCCTCTCGATACACGACCATTCCAGGTCCACTTTCATATCTTAGTCTCATACAGAATGCTGTCTACACTGGTGTGTTATTTGTTCCAATTCACAATAGTTCGATGATACGCCTCATTTTGTTAGGTGTTTTGTTCACAAATCTATTTCAGTCACATACTCAAAACGCGTTTGCGTTAGATAGTATCGAATTTCGAAGCACTGGGCGATCGACCGGCTTGGGAATGTGCTTTGATTAGCTCTAAAGGTTGGTTATAGTCCTACATATATTTTTGCAGCTTGTGCTTCAAACATCCCACTTAGCGCTCACTGTGCAACCTAGAAGTTTCGGAACATAACAAATGGAGCTAATCAACGAAGCAAAAAAGTGAGCCTTAGTATCACCGCTCAGCTCTTGAACAAGAGGTGTTCTTGTAATATGAATGAACATTTACTGCTCATTTGATGTTAGCAAAGCACTTTCCAAATCTATCAGAGGCTCTGGTTGCATGGAAATACTTTAGCCTGTTATGTACTTTGGTGGGTGTTGCGTAAGCTTTCTAGTCGTCGCGTACTTAGCTTTCCACTGAATTCTTAATTCTACACACCGACGGCAGCATCTTCGGCCTAGTACAAGTTAGAATCTGCAATCCTTGTTATAGAATTCATCTCTTTCATCTTTCTCGTGAGCATAAGACTTAACAAGTGCGCTAATGATTGGCTTTTACAATCAATCCCCTACGGATTTTGCGATTTTTTTCTGAAAACTGTCTTCATACAAACTCCTTTTGAGTTTTGCCGTTAAATTGAGCTGCTTACGAGAGAAACCTACACAGCACCTGTAAGGAGACTGAACGCATACAATTAAGCTTACTTTTGGTTTTGCTTCCATCGGTCGCTAGTGGAGTGGAGAGCCCCATTATATAGGCTACTACCTCCTAAAGTCGTAGCTAGTCTCGTCTCGAGTTCGCGAGAAAACCTCTTAGTGAAGCCTCTGCCAGTAAACCTCGGCACGCTTGTGTCCTCGTTATTGAAGGGCTTCCTGTTCTCCATATAGTGAGGGACATCACGTGATCTCGCGAGGTTTCAGAGATTTGCATGGTGCGTCCTCGCACAGGCTCCTTCTGCACTTGTAAGAATGCTCGCTATGGATGACGCGTATAAACCTGGCCCTCTTTCGACACAGGCGCTCAAATACAGCAGATTTCTTTGATTTTCAGTTTATATTTTGGTCGGTGTGCTTCGTTCATTGTCTGACGCACATAGACGCACACACACACACGTGCATGTAAATGCTCACACACACACTTGCACTCAAACGTACACACACACAACTCTCACTAAAGAGGATACACAGACACGCACACGTACACAAACATGCGCACGCACACAAACACACGCATTCATCTAACTTATAACTGTCAACCTCTACCAGCTACTGCTTGCACGGGTGCAACAGCTGCGCCAATTGCGCAAATTTGATACAAACCCTCATTTCTGATGATGATGTGTTGGGTTTCACGTCCCAAAACCACCGTATGATTATGAGAGGCGCCGCAGTGAAGGGCTCTGGAAATGCCGACCACTCAATTGGGGTTCTTTAACGTGCACCCAGTTATGACCACACGGCCTTACAGCACTTTCGATTCCATTGAAAATGCAGCCACCGCAGCAGGGATTCGATCCCGAGACCTGCGGGTCAGCAGCCGAGTACCTTAGCCACTAGACCACCGCGGAGGGGCAATTCCTCATTTTTGCGCCGAGCTGCGTAAAAACCATTAAATTAGCTGAAGTAGCGCCACTCTAAGCCAAAATACGCATCCAGCCTCATAGTTTTCTCACTTGCGCTAATTTCAGCGAGAAATGAAGGCAATGTTGGCCATGTGTAGTTGGCGTCATCAATAAATCTAGGCGCGGAGACCCTAACCCTGAACCGTGGTGTAAGATACTCATTGGGCCAGGACACTCGCCAACGAGTGATTGATGAATTATGCATGACACGTGCGACAGTTCTCGGTTCCTAATAAAATGAGTGATGAAAGAAGGGCGATCACATGCGTGAAATTATTTCGGATGAAATGGCAGACACGATTTTGCAAAATTCTAAACGCAACTGTATAGCTTCTCCACTACAAAGTTGTATAGAAGGTGGTGCACGCTTTACAGGAGACCCAATTAAAAAAAAAACAATGTGGTTTGGAAGTCAGTTCCATACTTATACCACACTCCCGCATACGAGTAGATAGACTTTCGAGAGAGTTGTACTATTTACAGAACATATAGTGACCGACGTCGTCTTAAACTACTATTTAATTAATTTCCACGGTTATGGCACATGAATAATTATTTTTTTTTGGTGATGTGTGGCCAAAGCCCCCAAAAGAGCATTTCCGGATTAAGGTAGTTATTTTTTTATTTTGTTTGAGTATATAGAAAACACGACGACGGAGGAAATAGAGAGAGAACAGGCTGACAACTGCCATTTATAGGGGCACGACGCCTGCCTGCTCTTTCGGGAAGGGGATGCGTAGGGGAAATAAGGGAAGAAAGTTGGAGAGAGAGAACAGTAAATGATAGCAGTTGCACTATAATAATACTTGTTAGAGTTTTCACGTCACAGAACCAATACATGATTTAGACAAACGCCGTAATAGAGAGCTCCGAAAATTTCGACCACCTGGTGTTCTTTACCGAGTACTGACATTGCACTGTTCACGGGCCTGTAGCATTTCGATTCCATCAAAATGCGACCTAGACTCGATCCCGCTACCTTAGGGACAGAAAGACATCCGCCGCGGCGGTATAATCGTTTGGTGAATAATGTGAAATAGAAATTTCAATTGTCAATTTTTTACACTGTAAATTCACGTGCTACGTGGCGCCATACAGGCAGGAAAAGTGTTTCACACTCGCCGT